TATGTGGAGAGTTTTGTACATTCCCTCCCAAGGTACCCAGTCATGGTCCTTGGCACAGTATAGTACATCTTTTCTGGATAAATTCAACAGGGTGCATTAAAATACAGAAATTCTCTGGTAGACTTAGCCCTGGGTTGGATTTTCACAAAATGCTAATTAAATCAAAAGTATTGAGCACCTGCAATAGCTTCTGCAAATTCCTCTAATCACATGTTTAGCCTGTCTTTGAACAACTGACTGCAAGGAACTGGTCATTGCAGCTTCATGGCTCAGAAAATGGATGCATGAACCCACAGAAATCTGGATCAGGATAGTATGACTCTGGGAGTCTTTTCTATTAACAGGATGAGCTCTTGGTTGAGACTGTGTTTGCTCAAGCTTGCAGACACATCACATTCCCATCAAACATGCTCATATGACTAGTGGGAGCTGTACCAGAATGTGTCCCATGCAGTCAATTAGTCTAATTTGCCAAGGCGTTCTCGCACTCCTAACCTGGCATGCATCTTTCTAGTTACCATGTAATTGTTTACATTTTGTCAGTAGTTACACAGTTCCAAACGTGCCATTCAAAGACCATTCAAATGTTTTTGACCATTTTTCTAGTTCAGTTCCACCCATGAAAAGTAACTCAGCCAATTCCAGTTCTAAAAGAACTGCTTCATCTAGCCATTCATCCCTTGTAGTGATAATTAAATTAGTTGTTTTAGAGAAGGAGTACTATGACCACTGAATATAAAACTCACAATTGCACCAGAGCTGACCTCTCCCAGATAGCTTTTAGCCACTATGCTATTTCCTCTGAGCTGTGAATTCTTTAACCCATACATGTGCATTGGGAGCACTGTGTTCAAGGAGCACTTTAAGTTCTCCTTTTCACTGTAGGACTGTCACTTTTAAGTGAGAAATGTGGTTGTTTTCTTAAATAAAGGAAGTGTGAGTAATTCTGTGAAGCCACGAAGACCAAAATCTGCATATATTTTGTTCCAACAGTTCATATCATTTTAGGTTTTGGAGTTCTGATGTCCAAAATAACATTACTGAAATTACAGTGCTTTTATGCTATCAAACCCATCTAGGAGAATTGCTTTCCTGACAATGAGGATAAAATTTCCCAAATCAGAATACTGAATTTGCAAGTTTCCTCCATCTGTCTACTTGATAATTTGCTGCTAAGCATTACTACTATATACAAACCATCTGGAAATATTGCTCCCATGTTCAAGAGCCACTAGACACCACCTGACTTTGAGAAAAGTTTGAACTTGCTGGGATACCTGTTTTTGCATTTAGATTTGTCTCTCCCACTGGATCATATCTGGAGGATGCCACATACTTAAATGTGTACCTGGAACATGTAACTGCAGGCTTTGGCAGAAGTAGACAGACAAGCCTGTTCTCTGATGGAACTGTCCTCTCAGGTACAGCTGCACTGATGTGCTGCCTAGAGAAAAGCCACTTTGAAGCCACTCCTGCATGAAATATTTGCATGGTCTTTAGGACAGCAGGAAACCTCATGCTCCTGGGCTGCTGCCTGTTATCATTCAGGTTCTATCTGCTTCAGCCAGTTCCAGAAGACTGAAGCTCAGGCCATAGTAAGCTCAAGGAGAAGTTGAGCACAGTGACCTTGAGGAAGCTACTAAGAACAGTCCACATATGGCCAAACCTCTGGCCACACAAGCTATCCACCTGAGCCTTGCAAAGCAACCAGGTACCCCACCACACACCTGAGAAAGCAAACAGGCATATGGGACACCCAGGATTAATCAGCAGCAGAAGATAACCAGCTCACCACCAGTACACAGACTCACGTAGATGCTGAACCTGTCAGGGACAATCTGACAATACCAGTTTCAGAAGCAGGCACGGGTGCTAATACACCCTGCTGATCCTCACCTCCTGACCAGAACACCTTGCTGGAAGGGCTAAAGTGCTCTCAGGATGGGATAACTAACCTTCAAGTCCTACTGAATCATCTACAGCCTATAAACAGACTCACACCTACTTCCATATCATGTCTAAAGGTAGGGATGTTTTTGAGGCCAGAATCCCTTATTTTAACAAAGGAATAATGTGTGAAAGCATTCTTCTTGAGGTTCAGAAACCCTGGATCTTGCCACCTTTAGATAAAACCAGGTAAATATGGTGACATTTCAGGTATGAGAAACTTTCTTGTGTATGATTTGAGGATGACAACATAGGTTCTAAGGTGGGTAAAAAGGAGAAAAGTCAGGGCAATTAATTAATTAATTTCCTGAATGCTTCAGAGCAGGAGCTCAGGAGAATCAAATTCTAATTTGAATGAGGTGTCAGGGAGACTAAAAGCCTTGTTAATACAAATACCTGCATGAAGTCGCTAATGTAAATGAAATTTATTCTAACCCAAGTCTAGCCACTTAAGTCTATGGTAAAACTTTCAGTGACAAATATGGGAGCAGGCTGAGACCTCACAGAAGCTTCTTTTAAAGAACTTCTAAACTTTCACCTCACCTCTTTAAAGCATTTTTGTAAGCATGTGCACCTCAAAGGTTTTATATAGCTGGTAAGCTAAAACATATGAGGAAGAAATAACTTGTTCTAAGCCACAGAGGAAATCTGTATCCAAGCTAAAAATTTGACTCAGTAGTGATATCCTGTTCTCCTCACTGAGCTTTAAAGAGCACAGGACAGAAATGATGTTGTCCATGAGTTAAAGCTGCTTCCCCTTCCCTTCTTTATGAAGAAAAGTGACCATGATGACATTAGTAGCTCTACAATTTTCCTCATTACAAAATGGAAGATAAACCCTATTTTAAAGCATCCATTCCAATTTAGTTAGGCTGAGATTTAAGTGTTTAATGCACTTTAAGTAGCAGCCATATGAACTGCAAAAAGCCTAGCATGTTTAATCATATCCTTTCAGCTGTAATGTTGAAACACTTACAAAAAATCTATAGACACGGCAGAAGCACGGGAAAACACTTCAAGTTTCCTTACTATTTTGTACTACAGAAATCAGAAAGATTAATTCTTCTTGAAATGCTTAATAGTTTCTTTGAAAATAAAACAAAGCGTGTATGACTACACAGGTGATTTTCAGCTTATGACCTCTGACAAATGCCAGTTCTTTGAGAAAATGGTGAAATTGAGTATAAAATCATAATTAAAAAAAATAAGAAAGAAAGAAAGGAAGGAAAAATAACCAACAAATGAAAAAAAAATATCCAGAAAAGCAGAACAGCAGAAATTGGACAGTGAAAAAATGGCATTGAGGCAGATTTCAGGAAATATATTTTCTTTTTCTTTTGCAGTGTGACATTCCAAGATATTTTTAAATCACATATATTGAAAACAGATTCCCATACAATTCTTAATAAGTTACAGTAGCCACCAGAGTTAGTGGTTTCTAACATGTGGCAAAAAGTATAATACTTCTAACTCAAGCCATGTCATGCTGGTACTTTACCAGCATTCCTCATGCTATTGTTACAATTCCACTAGTTTCATGGCATTTAATTCTTTCTGAACATAAAAACAGATTATCTCCCTTTCTAATATTAATAGTGAGCACTATAATCATAATAACCATGGTATGTTTCATCCCACTGTCTCAAGATACTCTGATCCTTACCTCTGATTTTGGAGATGGAGAAATTTCAACTCAGAATAATGAGGTGGCTCTCTGGAATCAGCCAACAGTAAGGTCACTGTAGGGCCTATATTGTAAAAAAACAAAAGGAGAACTTCACAAATTTATAAATCCTACCTAGTCTAACACAGAGAAGACTTATAATTCTCATCACTTTGCTGTGATTGGCCCCACAGTGATGCTGGGCATCTTCAGGGCAGCATTGCCTCCTCACCCTGGAGTTGGGATCTCCACCTGACAGACACAGCGAGTACACAGCTGTGCAATCCCCCATGGGGGGTCCTGAACAGGGGCAAGTCCTCCACAGAGGCCAGGGAGAAGGATGCTCCCCTGGAAAGCTGATGCTGTGGTCCTCCCCCTTGAGGCTCTGCCACTGGAGAAGAAGGGGCACAGCAATGCTCAATCAGACATAGTGGGCACACCCACACCAGATACATGACCCACCATGGTTGACATGTGGCACATGCTGGTCCTTACCCCTGGGATGTACATCAGATGCTAGGAATCCACATGTATTGAGGCAGCATTTTAAGTCTTATAAAAAAAGTACCAAAAGTATTACTACTCTGCAATACATTAATAATTATTTAATGAAACTTCCTGTTTATGCAAAACATGTTGAAATAAATCACAGTAACAAAAACTACTTGATTTCATAAGCAACTTACATCCAATATTTAATATTTTAAAACTCCTTAAAGATGAAAATTTTAAATTTTAAATTAATTAACTATAACATTGAGATAAAAGCCTTTAAAAGAGAGTTGAGCTATTCATTGAACAGCAATAGAAAGGTATTCTAAAAGAGATCTTGAAAAGCTTGCTGTAAAGAAATCATCATTTTATCAGGAATCGTGTTTGCTAAGTATTGTCAAACAAAGCAGAGTTACATATAAAAGCTCAGAAGTCCTCTCATTCACACAGGAATATTTCAGAAGCTACCACAAACTCCTTATGAGGTGCTATTTACAAAACTGGATGGATTTTCTGTTCAAAGTGACAAATCACACACTTCCCCAAAAATTCAGTTTGGGGATGACCAAGCATGATTATAAAACTGGATGTGAAATATGGTGATAGGTGAAAGATATGAAATCTGGAAAAGATGGATAATTATATTTCAATATCAACATCCTATTTTTACACACACAAAAAAACTCAAGTTGAGTTTCTAGTTGAATTTCAATCAGAATTTGTTTCTTTGGCTTTTTTCAACATTATGACTTTTCCTTACATTCCGTGAGGATAAAGATATGAAAAAACAAACTACACATGACCAACAGTAGGGAAAGCTCATTCCAGGACACACAGAGTTGGTTATCTGTCTCCCACATAAAATACAATCCAACAGTGTCTAGCAAAGGATTGCTGACTTAGGTGATCAAATGTTTCTTTTTACTTCTTACCTTACAACAGTTACTTTCTTACTTTACAACAGTTATTAATGCATCTCAGATGTAAGTTTTATTTTTCTTATGTAGGACAGGAGTTCCTGAAGAGCATTAAATGTACCTGGAATGAAAGTTGTAAGTTTCATTTATATGAAATATATTTTTAATTTAAGTGTTGGCTTTAAAATTCAACATTTTATTAAGATGATCTGGTATTTGCCAAACATCACCATCAAAGTCACAAATACAATAATTTGACTTTTTTTTCAAGTATTATCAAAGAAATTTACAGAAATTAAACTAAACCTAAACTAAGGGTGCCTGTCACTCTGCCAAAAACACTGATGTCCAAGCCCAGTGTGTTTCTTTTCTTGAAAGGATGTCAGCAGTATATTTAGCACCAGAATGGAAATAGGGGAGGTTGGACTAAAATATTCCTATTTCATATCGCAGGTCTCAAATTCTCCCTTTTGTGCCACTCCTGGATTTACAATCTGGACATTTCATACTTTCTTTTGAAGAGTTTTGACAGAAAATTGCTTGTCTACCTAAAATTCAAAACCAGCTTTAATAAGGTACACGAGATGCACAGATGAAGCCTTCCTCAGAAAATGGTATTTTTCCAAGATAAAGTGGTGGTTTATTTTTTGTTTGTTTTTAAGTCATGAAAAGCAGATGAAGCAGCAAATGACAGAGGAATTAATTGTATAAACAATAAATGTGAACATCTCTGCTGCATATAGTCAGCCTAATTGAAATACAGGGTTACTCTGTATGAGATCAGACACACACAGAGTTAAATACAGTGGTGCTGTTGAGTTACTAAAAGATGAGATATTGCTGCTGACCACAGAGAGCAAATTACAATTAAGTACACATCTTTCTGGGAAATTTGCCAAGGAAAAAAAAGGGAGAGGTGGCCATTACTGCTGCTATGCTTAAGCTAGGGAAAAATGGAGATGTAGCTGCTCTAACTCTTACCAAATGAGCAATTGCACTCAAGAGCACAAAGCAAATCAATGCTAATGAAACAAATCATGAAACCAGCTCTGAGAATGAGTTCAAAGAACAAAAGTAGAAATGCTTCAGCTCTCTCTGTGTTATCAGCTTAGCACTGGGGCAACTGCATCACTGCTGGCTGTTGCTGTGGCATGGTGTTTTTGCACAAAACCAGCTTCACAGAGTGAAAAACAAAAAAGGATAAACAAAAAGTGCAGATGTGGCATTACAGTAGAAGAAATTAGGGAGATTGAAGAAGCAAAAAACAAAGTTTGAGCAGCATTTTTACTTTTGATAACAGGGGTACCAAGAATAACTGAAACCATGGAGATAGAGTGATACCAGCAGAACACAATCAAGAATATTCATATAGAGCTGAATTTCCTCAGCAGGCAAAGGAGAAGGACAGATAACAACTCTGGCCACAATGACCATAATGTGTAAAGGATGAAAGCATCCCAACCTACCACTCCCCTTAATGAATTTGAGATTTATTCTACTAGGGGATCCAACCTGACAGAAAGAACACTGCTAATGGCAGGAAGATGCCACGTCCTACATTATTACAGCACTTGTTTGTTTCCTTACAGAGAAACTGTCTGATTCAGCATCAAACAGATTATTCTCACTTTTCAGTCGAGGTATCTGTAGAAATTTTCTACAGATCTTTGCTGGTAATGCATGGTACTAATACTTCTATACCTAAAATTTAGAGGAATGACTGTCTCCTGAAGCCCGAGTATGGTCTGCAGCATTAACACATTCCTGCCATATTCTAATTGTGATGGCATCTAAGCAGAGGGGACACTTCAGCACCAATCTCTCATGTACCATGGAGAAACTTACCTCCTCAAATGCATCCCTGACTGGGTAGTTTTCTTCTGAGCCCAATGTTAGCTCCAGTTCTCCTGTCTATCATACCTGTTGTTACAAGATCTCTTTTCTATAATTTCTAATTTTATTTCCAGTGTGAAAAGTCACCATTAAACAACATATATTAGACTATGCTCTACAAGATTCTTGAGTATGTTTTTTTTCTTTTTTTTTTATGTGTGAGAAAAATTCCTTTTGGTGTGAAAAGAAAATACTGGGATTTTCCCCTTGCATGATTTCCTGAGATCCTTGGTAAGCAAAGATTATTTATATTACTGTCTCTCACCATCTCTCACCCTCTCACAAGATTGGGCATCCAAGCTGTACCCAGCTATGGCTAATCAAAAGAAAAACTTCACAAGGAACAAAAATAATACAGATTGAAAAGTCCGATTTGAAGCCTCAATTTCTATAGAAGTTCTTCTTTGTCATTTTTGCCATGACAAGTTGGACTTATGGGTCTTCTCTTGAGAGGTTTCCCTTTCCAGTGTCTCCAAACCAGTAGCCAGCACTTCACAGAAGCCTCTGGTGCAAAGAAAGCCATGTCATAGGCATGCTACAGAAACCAAACTCATTCATTAGTCCAAGGTCTCCTTTTAACTCAAATACTGTTTCATAATGAATAAAAGTTTGGGACCCAAAATTTACTTAACAGCATAAACCAATATTTCCATGTGATTTCTATAAACTCTCAATCCAGGATCAACATTCAAGGGCTTAATTGCACAAAAAGCAACATCACCAACCTGTCACTCTGATTGACCTGTCTTAACACTGAGTGTCAAACCACTTGCAAAAACAATACCACAGTGAAAAAATAATCAGTCTTGACCTCAGTGCACATTTGCCTGCAAAATGTTATCATAGAGTTCAGAAATTTGAAACATCTCATAAATAAAGAAGGTGTTAAAATCCTTTAGACGCACACGAGTTCACAAGCATTTTGCTGCTTTTTGGTAGCAGTCTTTTACAGGAGTCCTTTCCCAGTCTGGTCATGCACAAGGCTGAAACAGAAACTGATTTAAATATGCATAGGCACATGCATGTGTCCATGTTTATACACTTGCACACACATTTCTAAGCATGTGCAAAGGAAAGAATGGATGTAGGGAAGATTTTAAGAAAGCTTTTCTGCAGGGCAAGCTTAAGGAAGCCAGGGACAACTGCTCTTGGTACACTGATGTGAGATTAAGAAAGAAAGGAAATGGTTGCCTTTGATGAAGGAGTTTAGAATAGGTACAGCTGCATTGAGCAGGAACAGGAACTCTGTAATAAAAACACTCTGATGTGGCATTTAACCCAGAAAACCAGTGAGTAAAAATAAATACACATCCACAGAACTTAGGCTATTCTTTATCACAGCACAATATTTGGAATTCACTGGAAGTTAAGTTTCTAGTGATTATTTAGGGTTGCTGCAACCAGTTACTGGACATTTGTGTCTTTTAGGTAGTTGTATAACATGAATTGATTATAGCATCTATGAGCACAAAGTTCTGCAGTAGTAACTGCTCAGTTAAGGAAATTTAGTGCCCAGAGCCAGGCCCCCTATCACTCACATTCCTTGTTGGGTTCATCTCTTTTTCTTATGGAGGTTGTTGGCATGTATCGCTACTGTCCTAAAGTCCCACGAACTGAAGTCTTCTTGTTCTCACTCATTTGGGCTACTTTTTTCCAGTCCAGTACAGCTGTCAGTCAGGATGGGATCTCTTTGAGAGCAACAAATGAGCCAGATGCACAGTTCAACGGCCAGACACTTCAAGTCATAACAAGCCTGTGAAGCGAGCTAATTTTGCTTGCAGAAGAATTAGCCTTTATTAGCCACTAATACCACTTTTTGCCCTGCATAGCCCTTTAACCAGCTACAGCTCCATTGACATCACATTTTGGAAAGATTACTAGTGGCACATCTGGTTATAGAAAGCTTAGTGGGCTTCCTAGAGCAGTTACCACTTATTAGGACATGAATGAACTTAAACTATCTGATGAGGAATGAGCTGAAGTTACAACACTGTAGGCATTCATATAGGGTAAATCTTGTCATTCAGACCACAAATTCTGCAAGGCATTTTTGCCTGTGTCTAATTTTTATCTTATGTTTATTACATGTATATCTTAGTATTATAGTTCAAATTCATATTAATAACCTATGAGATAAAAATTGATGGAGCACATGTACTGAATTCCATCTATACATATATAGATAGATAGATAGATAGATACAGATATGCACTTATGATATTCAGTCCTAGGTTTAGACAGGGATGAAATTTTCAGTACTTTGGTTTTTTCTATCTTCTCTGCTTATGCAGAATTAAGCAAAGTCAATAGCCTAGCTGCACTCAGACTCACTGCAGATTTGTTCTGCATTATTCACTAGGATGTACAAAACTAAATCAGCCTCAATCAGGTGTGATAACTTTTTTGTTCCTATGGAAGTATGCAGTGCTACCTTACAACTTTGGGTTGCTGCTGTAGATTAAAAATCATCTGCTGATCTAGAGACAAAAGATCAAATCTATTTTAATCAGCTATGTCACTCCCTACACAGCAAAACAAGAAGCTGTTGAGCTTCCAACCAAGTACAGGCAAACTCACTTGATTTCATTTCAAAGGGTTCAAAGTCTAAGTAAGGTGAAAAATTATATTTTACTCTGCATAATGTTTAAAGAAATACAAGGAAGTATAAGGAAGCTGCACAGGTTGCAATGAGAAGAGGCAGAAGAGAAAAAAATCTCAAAAACAAAATAATAGTGTATTAAACCAACCACTTGCAAGTTTTCATTAACTGTAGTTTAGCTTTGAAGATGAGGGAGAACAGCAAGTATTGTAGGTTCTCAGTCAAGTTATTTAGGTGGGGAATCCAAACCAGTTGCATTTTTTAGCAAATATAACCATAAAGAAGGCTTACAAAGGTAACTGATGTCTAAAAGTAGTAAAAAGGCCAACAAAGGAAAGAGAGGGAGATAACTTTAAGAGTTGCCTACCTCAAAAAAATTAGGGTGTGGGCTCCTGTATACTGGGATTGTGCCTCAGACACTGGAAGTAATGGTCCTACTGTTTCCCAAATCACAGCATCGCCTTACCTCTCCTACAGCAGCAAGATGTCTCCTGACAGATGGACTGCAATTTCAGCCTCAGGTGACGTCTTAGATTTTAAATTTTTCCAGTCTGCTAAATAATGAATGGGTCCTGATATGCTTCTCCTGGATTATAACAGCAATAATATACAGAAGCAATAATGTGTTCTCTCATAGCTAGAACGCTCAAAACCCTTCAAACCTAAACTGAGTAAAAAGAACAAAGAAGGTTGAAATATTTCCTTTAATGTAACACATATTTTCTGTGGATTAGAAGGATGGGTAGAAACACTTCTAACACTAACTTTTCATCATTTAGAAAACTGTAAGGAAGGCCTCCCTGGGACCAAACTGGAAATTCTGATGAACACATTTCAGTATGGAGCAGCTGACACATGGAAACAAACCATGATTTAGCATTCATGGGTAGGATGTATGATCATCAAAAGCATATCTGAGCAAAAAGGGGGAGCCAATCCAACCAGACTTCAGGCTGTGCCAACAATAATAAGCATATGCCCCATACACAGGATCAGGAGGGGTGTTCTCCCTCCTTCTGTCACACACCACCATGGCTTTGATAAGAAAACTGTGGGTCTATAATCCATGGTTACACCAAAGAGAATTTGTCTCTGCCTTTCCTCCTGATCATGTTCTACCAAGTCTACCACAATGGATTCTACCTTGAAAATTATCAATGAGTGTAGATGCAATCACCCTCTTTTTGCAAGTAGGCTGGATAAGTTCCTACACAGCATTTGAATGGGTAGGCCCTTAAACATTTCTTTTGTATGGAAAAGGAAAGAATCCAGCAGAAAAAGTTCCAAACATCTCAAGGAAATGCAATTCCTCTCCCATATTAGCAACACCAGTTCCCCTCATCAGTGCCACAAGCAATATCTACAATATTTGCATTTTTACTTCACCTATAACCTCAGAAATACCTCATGAATGCAGGGCTGGTCTCAGCTGAAACACAATACAAAAGCTCATCTGCCAGTTCATCTGGCAGCTCTGCTGCTCCCAGTACTGGTGCCACACAGAGAAGGCAAGAAGGTGAAGAAAAAAGGTTGTGCAGGAAAAGCTTCATGAAAATACCTAGCTTGTCAGTTCCCCATGCAAACAAAAAATAGCTATCAAAGGTGAAACCTGCTTTGTACAATACACAGAAAGAAAAGAAACACTATAGAAAGGACATGTGCTGCAGACTAGCAGGAGCAAAAATTCCCATCAGCACTGTGAACTGGCTAAGATCACTGGTGAAAGAGAAAAACAATCTTCTAGGAAAAGAAAATAACATGGTTAAAGCTAAAGTGAAGAAAAATAATACTTCCTATCAGTGCAACACACTTCCAACTGAGGGGAGCAGCAGAGAAGGGAAGCCACTGATCCCACATCCACAGAAAATTCTGATCCCGAGAACAAATTTGCCATGTACCACAGATAAAATAAGTGTCATCTGCTCCATGTGATGCTGCCAGAGATACTGACGGTCTCAGCAAGTTTCTGGATTTGATGTATCAGGAATTGAGTTGCCACTGACCCACATGGAAAGGACAAACCTGAAAGGAAGGATTAGGATTGGCACAGGAAACTTGGGTTAAATTTGTACAATGCTAAAAATCAGGCTGACATTTTTGTTTGTTTCCCTTCTCCCTGCCCTCCTGAGCTCTCGTAATTAAAGAGTGAAGAACAATGTCAGATCTCACACAGAGTCAACACGGCATGACATGGGAAGTCTGCACTAAAGCGATTTTTTGGATACATGATTTCAAATAAGATCAAAACTTCCCCACGACTGTAGCCCTTCTGCTTCCAAGGCTTTCCCCAATTCTGGGGGTTACTGACATTTACCTAAGGACTTCTTCTTTTAAACAGCTAGAAAGTTGAAGTGTTCTGGATCTGTCATAAACAGACAATCATAGTCTAATATGGGACATTGCTCTAGAGATCCTGGCAGTCTGGATTCAGAGAAGCCCTGTAGCTGAGGCTGGAGCAACCAGAGGGATTTTGCATTCCCATTATCTCCTATGCAGTCAGCTCCTGGCCACAGAAAACATGCAGTTGTCCTTTAATTGAGAATTTAATTAGAAGATATTTTAGCTACATTAAATCTCTGTAGAGGGGGATATTCCTTGCCACCTCCTGCAGGCAGCGAGTGTTTGGAGTTATATGTCTCAGGTCATATTAGCAGAGCAATTTGGCTATCAGTTGCAAGGATGTTTAGGGGACTTAGCAGACTGTAAAATAGTGAAGTACTTTGGCCAGTCATCTGTGGCTTGCCAGACAGAAACTTTGAGTCACAAAATCAGAGGCTGCTGGCCAATGAGCCCCATGTGCCCCTCTCCAGCCCATTAAAGGATTTGCCACAGCAGAGCTGGGCCACAGCACTGGTGCACCTTCACTTTCAGTGAGGCACACCAGTCAGAAGCTTTTAATCCTGTTCATTGTGTATTAACTTGGTGCTTATGTGATGCAGGCTCTTTCATAAATTGTTCTGTGAGGGGTTTTGGCAATGGTTTCATATTACAAAGCTTCTTTTTATATCCCCTGTTGCCTTTTTCAGGTCCTATCCACCCATTCCTTACAACTATTAATAAACTATCCCTTCCTCCAGCTGTCAAACCAGGCTTTACAGTATGTTTTTAAGCTATTGTTGCACTTCTAACAATTAAGACTTCACAGCTTTTTTCCCCCCTTAATCCAAAGTGCATTTTTAAAGGAGCTATATCAGCTGACATCTTGTCCTAAAAATAGGCAATGAAAAAAAGCTAGAACTTAATTAAATGCTTCCAGGACTTTTTTTTTGTTGTTGCTGTTGTTCAGCTCATGTATTTCTCATAAATATAGTTACTTCAGCACACAAACTGTACTTCTCGCTATTAGCAGGAAAGAATTTGAGGGGAAAGTTAATTCTAAGCCATGTATCCTGACAGCACCCGTGCTCATGCTGTCCTTTTAGAAAGCATGTCTTCTTGCTACACCTGCATTGGGTAGGCTCACCCACACAATGGACAGAGAAATGGAATACATATGTTATTTATGCTTTGTGATACATATCCACTGTAGCTGTTATGCCTATTCCACATATGGCACAGTCAGCACTGATCTCACCACTGTCTTACCAGAAGACTGCATCTTAATCTTTGGTAAAGTTCTAGGGCGGCTAGGAGATTGATGCCTTGCAAAGCTGAACCTGGAACAGAGACTGGACAGAGGTAAAAGAATAAAGTAGGTATCAATTAATTAAGTCTTAAAAGGATACACCTTGAGCAGCACAAGAGCCTGGCCAGGGCTACACCCAAGATGGACCCAAAAGGGCTGTAAGAGGGAGGACTGGTCACAAGGTTTCACACTTTTATAAGTTTTGGAACCTTTGCATATTGGGGTTAATTGTCCAATTACAGCTTCAGGTTATGAAGTCCCATTCTCCTTGTTTGCCCCCCTCAGTTCTTCATTGCTTATACTTTTGGACCTGAAGGTCAAAATGGTTGTCCTTGGTCTCAAGCTGGAAAAAGATTGTTTTGTCTAACTACCCTGTGAAGAGAGCTTACTGACACCTAATGTGAAGCTCAGAGCTACACACCTAGGCAGCACAGAATCTGAGAAATATGAAAGTTAAAACTTAAGGCATCATGGTTAGGGAAGAGAAATGGACAGGGTGATGTCACTGCTCAGTTTTAATTCCTTTAGCCTGGGTCATGGCCAGTACAAATTCCAGTTTCCAGGACAGCAGTACCCAAATCTTGTCAGCTTGATTCAGAAAACCAAAGATCAGACACCGACAAAATGAAAAATGACCAAGGATTTTGTTCACACCCATTTTTTCTTCTTTTGTCTTCCCATGTCATGTTGACAAACAACTGAGTTTCCCTACTCCGAAACTTCTCTGGTTTGGACCCTTAAAAAATGGAGGTGCTCAAAGTAAACAATCACTTTTAATATCATGGCCTATATCCCAGTAGGGAGTGAATCTAATCACGTACACAGCAACCTTCAAACTACACAAGCATGAGGCAATAGAACAATAAAACTGTAAAAGGTATCATGGAAACAAAAACCAGTATGACACAGAAACTAAGATCATGCAGCTTTCACTTTTCTATTTAAATTGCAATTGATCCTACTTGGTTTGCTTGTCCCTGCCATGAACTAAAACCCCATTAGTTTTCCCTTCCTTGAAAAACAGCCCAAAGCACAGTTCTTACACCATCAAGTTTAAACTAAGTTTAAACACTCCATCTTATGTTTTACCTGTGGTGCTTCCTCTTCCTTGCTGAATATCTGAAGTGAAGGCATCCCAGATTTCTCTAATTCACTGCTAACTGTTCCTTTTCCTGTTAACTTAGCCTTTCAGAAGTGTTGTTACTGCTGCAGTTCTGGTATAATTTTTATTTAATTATAACATAAACCTGTACAAAAGGTATATACATGATTAGTATTATTCTTTTATCTAAGTATACACATTCACAAAACCAAAATGCATGGCAAGAAGTAACAAGAAGCATCAGTTCTTGAACAATAAAACCACTGAAAGAAAAAGTTTTACAAGCCAGTTCTGGTGCACAGACCACAATGTAAAAACTGCTAGATTAAACTATTTTCATTGTCTAGGATGGAAAAAGGATGAGACAAAGAAAGAATAAAATTAATCCTTGTACAACCTTATCATAATTAGAGCTGAAAAAATATGGAAATTTAATCCTATATAAAAAAACTTTTTTATTCAACATTTTTTCCTAACTTGGGATGCTAAAGCAAATATCAGCTGTTTTGTTTTGTTGGGATTTTTAAAAAGAATTTTCAATAAGAAATAAAACTTCAGGGTTATTTTGGGAAGACATTTGAATTTTTAGTATTCATGAATTGAAAAATATTGTTTCAATTTGTTGGGCTCTTTCCCTATTTCATTTTTCATGAGACCCACAGGAGTGACTGTCTGTATCCTTCATCCTCTTCTATGGGACAATGACTGCCATAATGTACCAAGCTCCTCAAAGAAAACTATGATTCTGAGTCTTAGTGGCAAATACCAGGGGGCTAGCAAGATCAGACCAGCAGAGACTGGGAGCAATAGGCATGCAAAAAATAAATTTACTAAAGAAATACACCACAAAAGGGAAACAAACTATTTACTCAAAACTAAATAGTCCTATAATGGAAGGCTTCATTTTATTTTCTAAAAGAAAAATAGAAGAGCATGATGTCAAAAAAAAATTTATTTTCATAGCATGTTAATTTTTCAGAAGTTGTTTTAGAACGCCATCCTGCTGGCAAATTCCTGCCCTATCTAGATCTATCCCTTTTAATCCCTGGTATTTTATATTCCCCAAAAGATAATTCTGTTGTCAAAATTATCCTTGAATACCACACAAAAAGCGGGTTAGGGCACAACTGGTAAAGAAGCAATAGCAATATTTTCTTAGAGTCTGTTTGAGAAATTCTCTGTGTTATGGTTAGTATATAAAGTTTAGGCTTCTGAACATGTAGGTATCACAACGCCATTGTCATTCAGGGAGGCAGGCCAGTTTGCTAATTAAAATATATAGAACTGGGCAAAACATCACCTAACTTCTTTTCCAAGCTTGGCCACTGACCTACTACAGCCTTGCCGAAGTCATTTTAACTATATTCAAAAGCTCTGTTAGGATACCCATTTTCTTCCACAAGATGCACAAGGTGTAACTCAAGTCTGTTTAATACTAAAGAAATCCAGTCAGAAATTGACTAGAAAAAATAGAAACAAATATTAAAAAATGCATATTTGATGCTGTTCTCTAAACCACTGATTAAATATCATGCCCTTCTCTTTGCAGTTGAATTGAGTGGTTCTTGCTTCACACTGTAGGAGTTTTATCACATTGGAATTGGTTTTCCCAGCATGATTTATCATTATTTTATTTTTAAAGCGATTTTTTAAATCATTTTTTTATTAGAAAGTGGAAAAAATCTCATGAGAGAAACTGTCAAAGCAAAAATTCCTCTTGGGCTTTCTGAGGTATTTTCTTCATCCAGACCAGATTGCTGCACGCTTCCACATAACACAGGACCTGAGGAGAACAAAAAGAGAGGAAACAAGTTTACACTCTTGAAATGCCCACAGTTGTCTCAGACAACCTCAGGGCTGTCTCAAGGCTCAGGGCCACTGTGCTTTATAGTCAGATGAAAATGCAGCTTGGAGTTGGGCAGGAAACAAGTGTCATGAGCCCAAACCACAGATTGCATGCCTGCCTTCACTATCCAACTCACCCAGGGTTGAAATCTGGGAGACACCATTTGGGAGAGCCCCCAGTGGCACTTCCAAAGCACAAGCTGTGCTGTCCATGGGCAAAAGGAAGGCAGGATCTCTGAGCACCAGGATACAAAAGAAGCCTGTATGCATGAGAGCTCTTATCACTGGCAGGCTCTAGGACTCACAAAGTCAGAGCAATGAAGCCCAAAATACATATATATGCAAAACAAGCCGCAAACTTTCCACCCTGATGAAAGCACAATGAGGAAAATCTTTCCGACAGATTCACAGCTGGTTTCAATCTACAGTCTAAGCATATCTAATGGGTCGCTTTTATCAGAGGAGCTCTCAGAGGGTTCTGGCTGCTACTGAGGGCAGTTTGCCACTGTGCAGACCCCTCAACAAAAGTCTGAGAGGACACTGCGTACTCCCTACATGAACTGAGGCATGGGGTAATAGAGACCATCTGCTCCAAATTCCGGCCCCACTTGCAACTTTATTCATCCATTCCAGCTCCTAAGATCTTACTCCAGCTAATGTAGCTGCCCGTACCAAAGTATCAGAAAAACGCAAAATATTCCTCTCAAAAATCTTACTTCTTCTTGTAACTTTCTCAGAAATAAATTAAAGGATTCTACCCATATGAGAACAAAGTAATACCTGGTCTCAAACCCTCCTAGGTGAAACTCTGGCTTCTCCAGAGACAGAAGAATTTTCTGTTAGGAGTGGTTTAAAAGAAGCTACCACATTCAGAAAAATGCAGGACCTCTACCTTCTACAAACTACAAAGAGAAAAACGTTCAAAACACCACATCCATTTATGAAAATTTGCATGCTAGGGACGTGATGAGAAGTTACTGTGGGCATGTCATGTTGTAAGTGTTCAAATATATATTACTTTATTTTTCCCCCTGTGGTTTACAGATTTGTCCTGGGACAATGGAAGTTTACAGAGAAAGGGGAGATGTCTGTGATTAAGGCGGCTTTCAACTCTTCTTCCTACAGATACCCTGTGGATATTGCTGTATTCTCCAGAATCCAAGCTTCCACTTAAAAAACAATGAAGTTTCTAGCCCATCTGGGTTTGCGGAAGCAGAATGTAAACAGATGTACTGTTGTCTTATTTTAGAAGCTATAGCAAGCCAGACTGAAACAATAGCACTCAGAAATGTCAACTGCTCTCATTCATCTCAGTGGGGTGGGGTGTTAACTTTGAAGCCTAATTGTGACCACTTTAAAGTCAACCTTTTAACCATTTCACTGCTATTGCTATACCAGAAACTCCAAAGTAATGAACTTACCCAGCCTCTGTGTTTTTATGCATTACTCCAGACCTTCCATTCACTTGAAAAGAACATTGCATTACAATCGAGCTAGTTTGAATATTCTTTGACTTAAGAAGTTAGCTGAATTGTTTGCTACTGTCTTTCAAAATTAGGGTTAAAAGAAAGTCAAGGGTGAAAGGTTAGCTTCATTGTTGTTGCTCTCAAAAGTGCAACACGTGGGATTTCATGCTTTTTGCTTTGATCAGGGTGCCCGGATGGCACCTCATTTCAATATACAGACAAACAGATACATACAAAACTAAAAATAATGACTAAACAAATAACACAGCACCATCGATCAGAAGTAAAAGAACAAAAAAGACATCCTAATGATGTGGTAGCATATACTTGCAAGAATAAAAAAAGGGGAAAGAGGAAAATGGTCTTCATTTTCAGAAAGTTATAGTTGCCGTTACATTAAATCCAAGGTGTATTAGCCCTGGTTTGAGTACACAGAAAAGCTGCCCTGCTAAAGTTATTTTACATCCCTTTTCCAAGAAGCTGTTGCATTCTTCATCAGTGGTCACTCTGATGTCCACATGTGAATTTTCCTCTGGGACCAGCAGCTGAAGACTAGTAACTCTACAGACACATTTTTGTAAACATTACTTCAGAGGCTCTGAGAACTCATGCTGAAAATTATTAGGGCAAGCTACTCTACTCTAGCTCATGTTTCTGAGCATCCAGAATTGTGCTGATGTGAGGAGTCACAGGAGTCATGGTGCTGCAGGGCATGATGGAGATGTCTGGCTGGGTTTGGTGGGGCTGTTTGCCACACACCTCCTGTCTCTGCTCAACCAGCCCTCCCGCCCACCTCCACTGCAGAACATCTCTGGTGCCTGCCCATTGTGTCTGCCACAGGTCATGGGTGACACAGTGCACTGCATTCATACTTCTACAGTTACATCTACACTGACAATCCTTTTCACCTATCATTTTCTTCCTAATATAACAGATATTGGGCTGAGAAGTCAACACTAACACCACCACTGCACTACTCTGGTCATCTTTAGTACATCCATGCTAGGTACCCTAACCAGGTAATCCTGACAGGTCTCAAGATGCCTCCATTGCAGCTACAGCCACTAGCTCAGGGGAAGTGAAACAGGAAGGGCAGTACCTCAGCTACAGGACACAGCAATGGGAATGGCATCACCCAGCAAAAGACCTTGACCAAGCAGCTGGGACAGGAGTAACCTCTTTAGATCATGAGGCAGCAACAGAAAGAAAGTAAAGTGGAAGGATCTGCATAAGCCATACTATATTTCTCGAAAGATAAGTACTTAAGCACACATTCTCACTCCTGAATAAAATTGTCTTTACTTGGGAAGGTCTTGAATTGATATGAGTTCCTACGTGTGGTAAAGGAATAAGGTTATTTTGGTAGAGGGGGGAAAATTTTCCTGCCTACACAATGCCTAGGTGTTTGTGCAAACAAAGGCTTAATTCATCCAGTGCAGGTTCTTTTGCCTGCTACAACAGACAATACCCTGACATTGTTATTAGTAAGTTATGAATGCACAATCCTTCCATGTGTAAATTCCACTGTTAGCTGGATGTCAGGGTGTTTGAAATTTGCCCTGACTGCTAAAATCACCAGATACACACCCTACTTTTGTCAACTATCAGTGTTTGCTAAATCTTGATCTTTAAACTGCAACATAGGATGTGTGAACCGCTCTTGACATAAAGGTGAAAATAAACCCCTGCTTTCACTTAAAAGCCTGTGAACACTGACTTCACACACAAAAGGCCTGCTATGGAAAGACAGACACCTTCATTTTCTATTAACTTCAATCAGCTGCACCGAGGTGATCGGTTCTCTGCAGAAGGTGCTGATTAAGATCATGTATACATTCACAGAAGTGTCTGAGTGCTGTTGAACACGTTTTCTTCAGATGCTTGGAGGTGCAGAACAAAGGCAGCTGAAAACAGTCTTGGTAAGTTTACAATTTTACTTTATCACTGTATTAAATTCCCAATCAACATCCATAAGGCACCACACACTTGTTATAGAAAAAATAAACAGCCTCATAAAAACTA